CTCCATGAGACACATGGTTTGGTGGCACCTTCTGCATCTTCTTCAGTGGGCTTGAAGACTTCACCAGATGCCCAGAGAGAAATGCTGAAACAGAGGGAGTGTTTGGTTCTCACTCATCTTCCTTGAAGACTTGAGACACGAGGTCAATGAGGGGCCTCTGGAAGAGCAGAAAATTGCTATTGGTGTCTTTCTGCAGAGCCTGCAAAGTGCAGCAGAACTGGCTTGTGCTCCCAGGAGGACCCATCTAGTAGACCGTGGGGATTACAAGTGGGTTTTGGGGGGCTGAAGTTCCCCAACCTTGGTCCATTAGACCACCAAGAGTGCAGGACAACATATCTTAACAGCACTCCTGGTTGGAGGGGATGATCACAGAGTGGGTTGGGTTGGAAAGGATCTTTCAAGACCATCCAGTCCAACCCCCTGCAGGGAGCAGGGACATCTGCAGCTAGAGCAGGGTGCTCAGAGCTCCATCCAACCTCCCCTGGGATGGTTCCAGGGATGGGGCAGCGACCACCTCTCTGGGCAGCCTGGGCCAGGGGCTCACCACCCTCAGGGTCAAACATTTCTTCCTTCTCTCCAGTCTAAAGCTCCCTCTTTTAGCTTCAAACCATCCCCCCTTGTCCTGTCCCAACAGGCCCTGTTACCAAGTCTGTCCCCAACTTTCTTCTATGCCCCCTTGAAGGGGATCTCCACCATGATCCCAACCAGAGGGCTGGAACAGATCCATCTCGTTGAGAACAAAGTCCACCATGGCCCTCCCTGAGGGTTCCTCAGGTTAAAAACCAGATGGCAACCACCATCTCTCCTAAACCCTTTCAAGTAGAGAATATTCCTTCTTCCTGAGCTCCAAGTGGCACAAGTAGTTGGTTTTCTTCCCTCTTCCTAATTGAGATGTGTCTCCATTTTCACCCATGGCCTGGTTGCTCCCCGGTGAGCTGGTGGCTACACCTGGATGGTGTGTTTGCCCCACGCTGGTTCCTCTGTGGTGAGGGGAACACTGGCAGGCACCTCCTTGTGACCCACGGTGAGATGAAAAGCCCACCTGTGGGCAGGGACCACAGGGAGGTTGCAAGGCTGGAGCTTCACCCCCGAGGCTGTCTGGATGTCCACGCATGTTGCCACCTGGATGGATGAACCTGAGATGCCCATCAGGCAGCCCTGAGAATGCCAAGGAAGCACTTGAGCTTCTCAGCAGTCCAAGTCATCTCAGAAAGCAGATCATCAACCCAAATACTGGTGGGTATGTCAATCCCATCAGCTTAGCTCTCTGGCTTGCTCCTGGTGGTCTGCACCACGTGCCTGTGCACCCATTGGTCTTCTAGAAGGTCCAAGCTGGTTCTCTCCATGAAGTTTTGGGGGTTCTTTGCCCCCTCAACCACCGTTGCATGCCCACTCCATGGGACTTCAGATGTTTAACATCTGCAAAGCTGTGAAGAGCAGGTTTTGGGTCCACAGAGGTCCCAGTATCATGCCACAGAAACCAGTAGCACCCAGAAGCCCTCCTCCAAGGCACTGCAGCTCACCCACCACACTCAGCACTTCCAGCAGCAAACAATTCAGTTTGGGTTGCCAGTGGAAATAGAATCATGGAATCATAGAATCCTTTAGGTTGGAAGGGACCTCCAAGATCATCAAGTCCAACCACCGAGCCACCAGGGCTCCAAAGTCCTCTGCCAAAACAGATCAGAATCTGTCAGGGCTGGAAGGGACCACAAGGATCCCCCAGTTCCAACCCCTCTGCCAGGAGCAGGGACACCTCCCACTAGATCAGGCGGCCCAGAGCCTCCTCCAGCCTGGCCTTAAAGACCCCCAGGGATGGGGCCTCAACCCCCTCCCGGGGCAACCCATTCCAGGGTCTCACCACTCTCCTGGGGAAGAACTTCTTCCTCACATCCAGCCTGAATCTGCCCACTGCCAGCTTTGCCCCATTCCCCCCAGTCCTGTTGTTATTTGAGATCCTAAAAAGTCCCTCCCCAGCTTTCTTGTAGGCCCTGGGCACGCTGGCCTGGCAGAGGACCTTCCCCCAATGCTCCAACTCAGCAATTTAGAAGAGGAGCCAAATATCTTCCACCAGGTCTTCAAAGCTGCTTGGCCAGCAGCAGAAACGAAAGTGAGAAGCCTTTCACAACCGAAGTTGGGTGTTCTGTGAGTGGCTGGGCAGATTCTGGCACGCAGCCTCCTCTCTTAGGAAATCCAGCAGACTCTTTGTCTGCTTTCCAGCAGGAACTTCTGCTTTCATGGCCCAGCTTGGCTCGATACGGGGGAAACCGGCTGGAGAGCAAAGGGAAGTTTTTCTCGTAGACAACCCCAGCCTCGGGGGGATGATTTCAGGTTAAACCATGAAGCTTTGGAGTCTCGACTCACCTGCCCTCTTCTCTGCCTCCTGCTCCTTCTTCTCCTCCCTCCTCCACCTTCAGAAGCCAGGTTGAACCCTGTGGGAACCCGGTGGAGAAGGGTGGGATGGTGCCCGTGGTGGGATCTGGGCAGATGGACACAGCAGGGAGGAGTGGTTAGAAGGAGTTAAATTAAGGGTTCTGATGTGGGAGTTTCTCGGAGCATTTGCACCATTTTTGGTGCCATCAGGGCTGACAGGGGGGGAATCAAAGAGCTTTGGGAAGCCCCGTGCTCATCCTGAAGCAACCACCGCGCTGCTGAGGGTGCCTGGTGCTCGTGGGTGGGGATGAAGAACCCCTGGAGAAATACATGGAAGGTGTCACTGGTGGGTGAGGACATCACTGGTAGGACCCCAGGTCTTTGCAGAGCAACTCTTGCTGTCTGCCCTCAGTGCCCAAACCAGGCAGAGGTTGGACCGTGGCCCTTGGGACTGGTGTCTCCTGGTGCCTTGATGGAGCAGTGGAGCACATGGCACCTCAGTGAACAAGGTGGAGCCTGTGCTGCCCCCAGGAGGTTCCACCTGAGCAGGAGGAGAAACTTCTCTGCTGTGAGGATGGCAGAGCCTGGAGCAGGCTGCCCAGAGAGGTTCTGGAGTCTCCTTCTCTGGAGACATTCCAAACCATGCCACGCTCGGGAGCTAAATACCCCAGGAGTGAATTTCTGGACTGCTGCCTGTTTATATTTGTCCCTAATTGATTTTTTTTTTCCCCTGGTTGTTGTTGGGTTTAAATTAATCTCATGGTTTTTTTTTTTTTTCAAAGAATCTGTGAACAGGGTGTGAGAACTTATCTCAGAGCTTGGAGCTTGGGCTTAACTAACATTTTCCAAACAACTCAGCAGAAAGATAAACTTGGAAAGGGGAGGAGGTGGGGGGTGGAACTGTTGCATGTCTTCAAAACCCTGGCTGAACCTTTGGGCTCATGTGAGATAAAAACTGATGGGCCTCACGCTCATCTAGATGCTGTAAACGTTGTCTTCAAAGCAAACAAAAATGTTGTCTGCTGAAAACAGAGGAGGGCGAAGACAAAACTTTGAGAGGAACCAAAATTCCTTGAAATTATCTTTTGATTCCCAGCTGTTTTCCAGCATTTGTGGTAAACAAATAGGTGTTTATTTGTAAAGGAAACGGGAGAACATGAGAGTAGGATGGAGAGATGATAAGGCTGAGAATCCCAATTGTGATTTTAACTAAAGGTTTTGACTTTGGAGCACGTTTGGTTCCGTGGAGCCAGTTTTTTTTATGGGCAGTTTTGATGAGTCCAACCCCTTTTTCCAAAGTTTGCCTTTCCCTGATGAATTTCAGGGCCTAATGAAGCCAAGTTTTCTCAGTTTTTCTCCTTTATCTCAGTGTTTAGTGAGTTCACTCAACTCCCTGCTGCACACAGGGGTTAGCTGAGGGCCAGCAGGGCTTCTTCAGCCCAAGATGATGGAGTAGAAGTGGCTGCAGATTCAAGTGTTGCACTTGTCATTTTATCAGCCTCATAGAATCATGGAATTCTTTAGGTTGGAAGAGACCTTTGAGGTCATCCAGTCCAACCCTTCCCCCATCCCTGCCAGGTCCCCACTGCCCCGTGTCCCTCACCCCACATCTCCAGGGCTTGGAAACCCCTCCAGGGGTGGGGACTCCACCACTGCCCTGGGCAGCCTGGCACAGCCTTGCACAACCCTTTTGGGAAAGACATTTTTCCAACCTAAATCTAATCTTCTCTGTCCATGGGAGCAGTGCAAAGGGCTCGGAAGTCCATTGGTGGTGGAATCATGGAATCATTTTTCAAAAAGACCTTTAAGATCTTGAAGCCAAATCATTAACCCAGCACTGCCAAGTCCACCACTAAACGATGTCCCTCAGCATCACCTCATGGTAGAATCATAGAATTATAGAATCATAGAACGTTTTAGGCTGGAAGGAACCTCTAGAGGTCATCTGGGCCAACCTCCCTACACAAGCAGGGACATCTCTACCTAGGTAGAGTGTCTTTCATAGTGCTCCAGCTCAGTTTGTTGGCTGATGGAGAATCTCAGTGTTTCATCTGCTTGAAAACCCACTAGAACAGCTGTGGCTTCTCTTGTGGCTTCAGCAAAATACCAGAAACAGCATCTTTGTGTGCATGACAGAGCCATAAAGATGAAAACAAAGAAAAATGGGTATTTTTGGTCCAACCTCAAGAGTCCTTGCTTGTGGTTTGAAGGTCAGTGGGGTGAGGTGTGCTGAGCTCTCTACCGTTGCCAGGTAGAGCCGTTGACCCTCGATGCATGCCCTGAGTCTTGAAGCTAGAGGGATGAACATCCACCTTCACCACCCTGTGCCATGCACAGCAACATTTTGGGTCTCTCTTGAAGGTTCATTCTCACAAGCTCACGTTTGTAAAGCATAGTTCATGGAGAGCAGAGTTGGGGCACTGAAGACACCACAGTTTCACTGCAACCCTGCATCGTGTCACCATTTATCCTGTCTGTTGACAATCCCTTTGCTCCCCTCTTTCTGATTTTCTCTCCTTTCCTTTTGGAAGTGGCAAAAGCCAAGCTGGATGAAGAGATGGAAGGAAGGTCCTGAGGGAGGAGGAGGTCATGCTTCTCTCACCACCTCTGTCTTCTCTCTTTTGCAGTTGTTGCAATCTCAGGATGTGAAGGAAGATGCTGTGCTTTGCTGCTCCATGGAGGTAAGGAAGCATCTGCACCACCCACCCTGGTCCTCATTGCTTTGCCCCTTCTATCCTTGGCTATTCATGTGTTAAGCAGCTCTGAGATGTTTCCAAACCCAGCACCCAAATGGTGCAGCATCTCTGCATTGTTGACTGTGGAATTGGTTGACTGATATGGGTTTGAAGGGACCTTAAAGGTCATCTGGTCCAACCCCCTGCAGGGAGCAGGGACATCTGCAGCTAGAGCAGGGTGCTCAGAGCTCCATCCAACCTCACCTGGGATGGTTCCAGGGATGGGGCAGGGACCACCTCTCTGGGCAGCCTGGGCCAGGGGCTCACCACCCTCAGGGTCAAACATTTCTTCCTTCTTCAGTCTAAATCTCCCTGTTGAGTTTCAAACCATCCCCCCTTGTCCTGTCCCAACAGCCCCTGCTCAAAAGTCCCTCCCCAGCTTTCTTCTAGGCCCCCTTGAAGTCCTGGCAGCCCCCAGCAGGTCTCCCCAGCTGGAGCCTTCTCCTCTCAGCTGCCCCAGCCCAACTCTCTCCTGCTGGGCTCCCAGCAGAGGGGTTCCCCCCTCGGGGCATTGCTGGGGCTCCTCTGGCCCCGCTCCAGCAGCTCCCTGTCCCTGCTGTGCTGAGGACTCCAGAGCTGCCCCAGCACTGCCCCAGAGCAGAGTAGATAAAAGACATCACCATGAGATAAGAGCCACCCCTTCGAGACTCTGTAACTGGACTTTTGATGCACAACAATGGATGCAAAATATTTAGTGGCTGAGGTCCCATCACAAAACTGAATCGTCCTGGTTCCTTCAAATCTCACCCTGCTTTTATTTTTGAAACCCAAAACCACCTGCACTGGAGCAAAAGCTGCCCCGTGGTTGACACGGAGAGGTTCACTGTGCCCAGCAGCAGCTTGCCAGAGGAACACTGGGACAAGTCCAGCAGAGGCTCATGAGTTTTTGGGAGGTGATTGGCCCATGGGAATGGATGCTTTGCTTGCAGAGAGCGATTGAAATCACCACCTGAATGGTGGAAATTCAACAAAACAACCCAGGAGGAGAACCTGAATTTTCATGGTTAGGAATTTGGGGAGCTCTACGTTCAGGTTCTGTGTTGATGGACTCAAGCTCGGACCTTCTCAATGGGACAACCTAGGCCTTAGGCCGCACGAAGGCTCTCCATAGAGTCATTATTTTTACAAAACCACCCTTGGCTGGCCTCAGAGAAGCAGCACGACGGGTAGAAAGGCAGACTGGGGGCGGGCAGGGCTTGGTAGGCACCCAGGAGGACTTTGCTTCTTGGGATCCGTGGCCGGGAGGCCCCGACGACGGTGAATCAGCGCGTGAGGGCCGGGCCGGGCGAGGCGGGAAAACCACATCACAGCCCGGGCCCTGTTTTGGCAACAGCCTGAGTTCTGAGGTGGGATTGGTTGGTCTTTTTTTATTATTATTATTATTTTAGGTGTTTTTTTCTGTTTTTTCTTTCCCCAAAAGCCATCCGGCGTCGCCGCCTTTGAAGTCGGCGGGAGCCGAACCTGCCGACGGGTGGCTCTGGGCTTCAAAAGCCACCACGCCTTGAGCCCGTGGCCACAGCCAGCTGGGGGGGGGGCACAGATTTAAAACCTGTTTCCTACTGGTACTATTTTTTTAATATATATATATATTTTAGCATGGATTTATAATATTTATGTAAGTATATATATTTAAAAGCAGAGTAGATTCTCCCATGATGAAAACCAGCACGTCACATTGTTTAAGTAATTTTTGCTGTTTTACAGAAGAGAAAAAACTCATGTTAATGACCAAGAGGTTTAACTAAAGCTGTCTAATCCTTGCAGAGGGAGGCATTTGCTGTAGTATTTGAAGAGTAAATGAGTTCTTTGACTGCTGGTTGGATTTATTCTCTTGGATCAAGCTGAGGAGGCAGATTTTTCCAATAAGCAGGGTGGAATATAAAAGTCCTCTCCTCTAGGAGAAGGTCTCTTGGTTGGATGGGGCTCTGAGCACCCTGCTCTAGCTGCAGATGTCCCTGCTCCTTGCAGGGAGGTCGGACTGGACGCCCTTGAAAGGTCCCTTCAACCCAAACCCTTCTGTGATTTTATGATTCTGTGAATACGTCGAGTTGATAGTGCCCCATAGGATCGCTACACCATGGCTGATGGTTGACCCCTTCTTCTCCTGACAGCTGCAGAGCACCGGCCGGCTGCTGGAGGAGCAGCTGCCTGAGATGATGACGGAGCTGCTGGCGACAGCGCGCGACAAGATGCTGTGTCCCTCCGAGTCCATGCTGACACGCTCCCTGCTGCTGGAGGTCATCGAGCTGCACGCCAACAACTGGAACCCCCTGACGCCCACCATCACGCAGTACTACAACAAAACCATCCAAAAACTGACGGCTTGAGGGGCGGGGCGGGAAGGGACGAGAAGATGA